CCAGCTTTCTAAGAGCTGTGGGGTTTTTTTGTTGTTTGTTTTTTTGCAGTTTTTGGCTGGGGCTGGGTTTGAACCCACCACCTCTGGCATATGGGGCTGGCACCCTACTCCTCTGAGCCACAGGCGCCACCAAGAACTGTGTTTTGTTTAGAGACGATCTTATCCCCCTTGCTGCCCACAGAGGGTAATGCCTGCTTCTGGTATCTAGATTCCCCTAGTCCTGAGGGTTTATTGTGAAGTGTTAGGGTTGCCAGTAGGCTGGCCTGGGCTGGGTGGAGTGGACAAGGAGGACAAATTCTAGAAGCTGCAGTGGGAGGAGCAGGGACACTGGAAGCAGGGCTACTGTGGCAGTCCTGGTGACAGGGAGAAGGAACGAAGAGGGGAGTGGGAGCAGGGAGTTGGCTTTTTATGCTTAGAGATAGTGGCTGGGGAGCAAGGGCTGAGGAGCCAGGCTGGAACCTGCAGTGGGCTATCTGAGAGTAGAACAGTTCTCTAAGCCTAGGGGGAGAGAAGAGATACCAGTAAGAGGGGCAGAGCAGACACCAACATGTAAGGGGACAAACTGTGTGAAAAGGCAGCAAACCCTACCTCTGAAGGCTGACTATTTTACTGAGGTTTCTAGCTGGAAAAAAATGTGTGTGGGGATGAGACAAAGAATACCTTAAAGTCTTGATCAATAAAGGCAAAACAGTAAAAATATCAATAAAATATTTTAATGCCTAAAAAAATGGAGTTGGCAGGGGGCTCTAGGCTGTGGTAAGTGAGTGGGGACCAGGGACCTTGGCAATCTGGACACTTCCCAAGGGACAGCATCCCCAGCCAGTGGGACAGGTCTGGCTCCACTGAGAGAAGTGGGGAGAAGCCAGATGCAGGGAGAGGTACGCCCTCAACATCAATCGTTCTCCACATGTTTCCAATCCTGATGAAGGTACTGTGGACTCCTGTAATGCACATCTCAAAGCTCATGTTCAAGACAGACGGGAAAAGGCTTGCAAGGTGGCTGCTCTTTAAGACCTGCATTCTGAGCCCATGTGCAGTATTCAGTGCTGTGTTGGAGGAGAGGATCATGGTCACAGAGGTGACAGCTTTTGTGCAATTTATAGGATGTATATAAAGAGATAGGGTTGAAAAATGTGTTAGTAACTACAGCAGCTGTGGCAATTTTGAGAAACTGTCCTTGATGTATGTATGTACAATATATCCAGAGTAGCTAAAACTCCTCCTTCATTCTCTGTGGGTTCCCTGGGGTTAGGACAGTAAGCCGTAAGCAAAGGTATGAAAGCTGACTCCAGGCGAGTGACTTTGGAATCTGCCCTTTTGGATGTTGAGGAAGGATAATCTCAGCTAGTATCAATTCCAAACAATAGGAGATTAGGTCTCCTATACTGGAGGCAATTATAGAACATTAACATGGACAGAATTTTATCACTTCAAACTTTAGCGAAGTCATAGCTTTTTCAGGCACTTGTCTGCCAGCACCCATGCAAAGCAGGATGTGGTTAGTCAAAATTCAGATTTTTTTTTTTTTTTGAGACAGAGTCTAAAAAAATGTGGTTAGTCAAAATTCACAGAAGTGGCAGCCCTGAGGGCAAGATGGAACAGTGTGTGCAATTCTCATCACAAATACCCTAGTTCACTGACAAGGTTGGAACCTTTGGGTTAAGTCAACATATATTAATGTTAATCCTGTCCAAGATCTTTTGCTTGGTGCTATGGGGATAAAAATCTATCAAGACACAGTCCCTGCAGTGAATGCAGGTGTCATGTCTAATAGACTCAGACAGAAATCAACCTTGTTTAAGCTGAAAAAAAGGCAACAAAACCCCCCAAGCCCTAAACTGTATAAAAGTTTCACCACTCACTGTCATTCCAGAAACTTTAGCGCACGCACTGATCACCAAAGAATCAGGATTAGGCTGATTCTATTTTCATTGTGGATTGTGGAGCTGTCTGCATTTCAGTG